AAAAAAAAAAAAAAAAAAAAAAAAAGACAGCAGACACACACAGTACACACTGCTGTAGCTCAGTGAAAGTCCGACAAAACAGTCTGGCACAGTCATGCTTTTTTCGAGTGTATAGCGAATATGACAACACACTGCTGTAGCTACAGAAGCTGCTGCAGTAGCGTCATGAGCTACAGCAGTGTGTGTGTGTGTGTGTGTGTGTGTGTCTTATCTTCTTCTTTTCCCTTTGTTTGTTAAACTTGCTTGTGTTTTTTGAGCTTATTTTATTTGTTTTCTTTCCAGAACCCGACTGCTGCAGTTGTTGCAACTGCCGCAGAGGATTTGAAAATGGCCTCCTCCTGCCGGAGGGCAGCGGATACCTTGAATCTCTGCCGTCGAGCTGCCAGCTGGCCTTTGTCCTGTGCAGGCCCCACACGGCCGGTCCAGTTGGGCCGAAGGTCCAAAAACAAACACAGCAACAATTTAGGGGGTCCCCGTCCCCCAGGCACGGGAAAATTGCCTGGGGACCTAGGCTGTTTTTTTTCCAGGCACCCAGGCACCCAGGCACCCAACTTATACCCGGGTGCACGCTCGGGTGCCCGGACGGGCACGACCCCCGGGCAAGGTTCCAGGAAGCCCCAGTGTAAAAAAAAAAAAAAAAAAAAAAAAAAAAAAAAGGAACTCAAAAAAATCGGGAAAAAAATATGTGTAGAATTGAAACACAAACGACTTTTGGCAGAGGGTCACATTAAAATTCCGCACAGGATTGGAGATACAAAAGAAAATAACAGAATCACACAAGGGAACCCCCCCCTTGACAGCCAACTCGTAAAAAAAGAAATGAGCCCGGATTTGGGGTCCTCTGGAAGAGCGCAGAAAACCAATCTTTTCTTTTTTTGCGCGCGCCCGGGTACCCCGGGCGTCACGCCTGGGTACCCAACCAGGCAGGACTGGCCGGGCGTGAGAATCTTCCTAGATCAGGACACAACAACAAAAAAAAAGACAAAAAACTGACAGATACGCCACCCCAGACATGTTTCATTTTGACAATCTCCTGCGTGGGACAGGAGACTGCGAACCTGAAATAGTAACGAATGCATGGCTCATTGATCATACCTACCTGGAGCAGAAAGGGATGGCTCTCCCTTGGTGTCATGCATGCAAGGAAGGTTTCCCCTCTCGAAAGATCAACGAGACGATAGAGCACCTCTTCCTGCAGTGCCCCACCTCTATTCTTACATGGCGCGGATGGGTCCGGGTCTGGAACCATTTAGACACAGACAGAGACTGGCGATGGGAATGGAGAGCCCTGCTAACCGGTCACTGGACTGCCCAATCCTCGTCCTTCACATCCAACTTATTCAGGATTGGGAGGGAAGCTATTTTATGGGCCATTTGGCGACGCAGATGCATACTAGTACTTTAGAATGCCCACGTTGGAAGTGGCGAAACATCGGAAATGATCAAAGACAGGATTGAAACAGTAAATGTCCTTCGGGACATCCGTTAAAATTGGAACGATACAGAGAAGATTAGCATGGCCCCTGCGCAAGGATGACACGCATAAATCGAGAAATGGTCCAAATTTTTTAAAAGAAAAAAAAATAAAAAAAAATTGAAACAGTAATCAGAGCTCAGTGAAAGAAGAAGGAACAAGAAATGAGAGCTCTCACAAAAAGAGCTGACATTACCCAAAAGCTAAACAAATTCTGCATGGACTGGTTGGGGGGGGAACGGGGGGACGGATTGCATGGATACAATGGGATGGCTGGCTTTTGGATGGCAATGATCGCCTTGATAAATCTCAGAAGGATTATCAATTGCTTTTCCATTGACTGAAATCTCCAGCAACATCCCACTCCCCCCGGCCTCTGAGTTCCCTGATCTCTTCCCCCCATCACACAATACCTTAGTCGAGCTGGGCTGGTTTGGCCGAGATACTGTGGTGCCCGCCCATCACAATCAGGGTGGGATCGGTCAGGATGGAGAAAGGGAATAGGAGGACTAGGTCTCTGACCCAGTCGCCCCCCGGACGCAGAACCTGCCTCCCCATCCCCCCCTCACACCTGGCCGGTCTACCTAAAGATATGGCTGGGAGAACAGTATCTACAATACTTGTTGAACAACGGAAGTAGGGACTAGCATGTAGATGTATATCGGGCGCCTGACTCAAGGTGAAGAGGTTCCCCCGGCTTCAGTATCCTGCTCAGTCAATCCCCTGGACCCCAGGATAATCAATGC